CAGGCTGACAGGTGGCATACACACTGCAGTCCTATGCTAGAGAAGTTGCAGAATCCAATCTAAGCATTTTGGAATTAGCAGATTTTTTTTTATCACAGTGAAACTATCTATTAAAGCAGAGAGGAATATAAATGATGAGACTAAGCCCCAGAATAAAGCATCAAATAGTGCAGCCGCATAAATCATTCTTTTACATTTACATCCTCTTTGAACCAGACTGCTCAGATTTAGCCTATGGCACCAGAAATATTCACATTGAATGGTTATGTGTTTTGGAGAAGTGCTTTTTCAGAGTTGGAGTTCCTTATACTCTTTTTGGCTCTGCTACTCCCCTGTTATCCCCATTACGCACATGATATGGATACGTGTGCATTTTATATATAACTGTAAAGAAAGGAGACATTTCATAAACCATAAATGAAAGTATTCTCATTGCTTTACAATTACAATAATTTTATTTTGGAAGATATATGAGGGAAATCCTACTGAAATGGTCACTATATTAAAGTGAGATGTCCACTTTTTCCAAGACTCTTTGGGAGCAATCAGTATTCACGCTGTGATACTGAACGAGTAAGCTGAAGGTGGACCAGACTGAAACGGGGCAGATGAACAGTCTTAACCATGACTTCTTTTTATTTTAAAAACAGCTTTTATATCTATATTGTTTATAATGGTTTGCAGTACAGCACAGCAGAAAGAAGAATAATTATGTAGTTGCTCCTTTTTCTGTCAAATGGAACCATTTGTGACTCTACAGTATAATTCTGCCTTTACACTCTTTTCACTATGCATTTAATTTTTAGCTGTTTTTCTAATAAAAGAAATTATTTCAAAATGTTTTAACTGAATCTTGCCATTCAATATCAACACATGGTGCTTTACATCCTTTCTGATACATCCGATGCATGCAAGAATTATACGTGAATTCACATGTCTGCATTCACCTTCCAATGTGAATATTTTTACAAATGCACTCCCCTGACTTTCCCTGACCTTGTTTTGGTGTAAATTCCCACCTTTCATGGCTCATAGTGGTGTTGGTCTCAGCTAAGAGCTAACAATATAAACAACTGCTATTGCTTTCAGTAGAGACAGCAGTGTCTTTCACACCAGACATTCGTGCATCTATGTTATATCCAGTACACAGATCCCACAGAGGAAACGATCTGTAAGAGAGGAGTAAGGAGAGAAATCTAGGAGCAGCTGCTTTCGTCCAGGCACTGAACCTACAGAAGGGCCTTTCTCGATTCTGGTGACAGTAATGAGTTCTTTGGGTTCCAGCGAACAGTTGGATGAGATAATAGAACAAAGGACAGGTACCAATAACCTTTTATTTAATTTTGAAGGCAGTTACAGAAAAAGTAGGAGGCAATTTCAGCAATGTGAAGCCTTCTCCAAAGAGAAACTTATCATTTCTATAATCCTGTGAAGTTCTAAATCTGGAAATGTGTTCTAAAGAATCACGAAACATCTCATCTATAGAGATGAAGCTGATCTTAAAAATACATCAATTATGTTCTGATTTCTTCATTATTTATAGACGAGGAAAACCAAAAGTGAAAGAACAAGAGTGATTTATACAAGGCAGCTGGTGTTGATAACTAGATTGGAATTTTTGTACCATTCCATGCCATCTAAAACCCATGAATAAGTAATACATATGACAACATATAAATCTGCTACCATTTTTCATTCCCCATAGTGCTTACTGAAGCCCTAGAATACACTGTGTGATCTCTCTTATTCATATATATATGTTTATGTATGGTTAGCAGATGTAGCAAGGAAAATATTGGACCAGTGGTCTGAAGGTCTTGGTTTAGCTCTTTCTCTACAATTACTTCATCTATATAGTAAAAACATCCAACTACATTTATATAATCTTACGCCCCTATAATTCTCTAGGTTTTCTAAAATAGCCCATATGATTTTTTTCTTTTGTATCTCTTCTTAAAGGAGAAAGCTTTATCTCAGCTACCAAATTAGCCTACCAAAAAAAAAGCCAAAAAACCTCCTTAGTTAAGGTATCAAAAATTCTTTGCCTTTAGCTAACATCCCACAACTCAAAAGATGAACAGTGGCTTATCAACAGCTATATTCAAAAGAAAGGGAAAAATAATTATTTGAAAATAGGTGGTTTATTTCCAGATTACTTTTGTGAAAACATGAATTTTTTTTTCTACTGTTCACTTATCTAAAAGTGCTAAGATTAATATTAAGGATAATGATAAAGATGATAAAATACGGTCATTTAGCTCCAGAGAATGGAATATTGATCCTGTATTATAACCAAGATATCTTCTTCTAGAAACTCACCTTAAAAATAATTATTATTATGCCAAAATTTACTGTAACCAAAGCTACAGAGAAGCAAAAACAAACAATAGAACAAACAAGAGAACAATAAAAAACAAACAAAAAAAATAAATTGAGGATTTCAGATTATTAGATTTCATTTATCTATCTGTCGGCCGATCCCTATTCTTATTCGTTATTATCACCAAATATCTATATGCTTGATGATGCTATTTGTTCAAGGATCACACTTTAAAATTCATTTAAACCAAAAAAACAAAAAGATAGAGGGAGACAGAACTCAAAACCATTAATTTTTTAGAAGTTCATCTGGAGTGTTAACGGGTAAACAATCAGTAAGAATTATGTTCTTGAATCTTTCGTCCTTCTTTAGAATGTAAAAAACAAATTAGCTGATTTAAGACTGTATTATAGATTTCAATGGTATTGCAGCGAGAATGTGATCATAGAAAAACTGGCCATCTTTGATGGCACAATTGAGGTTTTCTCCTAAATTACTTCCTCAAAACATTTAAGAAAATACCTCTGAATTGTTTCCTGTTCTCTTTCAGTTGAATATTATCTCTTTATTTTTTAGAACCAATCAATTACAAAAAGAGCTCTAGAAAGAATTATTTTTACTTCTAAAATTAGCTGAGATCTTTCTAGATACTGAATGGGGAAACAAATTAGCTCCAGAGCTTCCTAGAACTTATTTCAGGTTCATCACCCAGAGTAGACCATCAAAATAACCGGTCCAGAACATCTTGTTAGCATCAGAAACCATTAGGCAAACTGTCATGCCTTTTCTTCTTTCATGACAAATAACTAGTGGTCTCTGTCTTGGAAACTTAAAACTTATTTCCTCTCTCCACTTGCTTTCAGTGTCACAAATTCTTTCAAGTTGCAATAGAGCTTTTGAGAGACATTTTTATTTCCAGATTTTAGCTGGCAGCAGAATGGTTACACAAAGCAATATATAAACAGATTAATTGTGATATTTTAAAAGTTCTCTTTGCTTTTCAAAGTGTAATCTCTAAAAATGGTGTTAGGGACATATTTATTCAGCCTTTGTAACTCCTTTCTACCTAATATGTAGTTAATGAGAAGATAGTCACTAAAACAAATTGGTCATCATTTTCTTCCTGCTCAATTCCAGTCATTAAAACAAAGAGTTGAGAAAGAAATATCATAGAGATTTCTTTGAAATGAATAACATATTCTTCTTAGTGCATATATTATTTTACATTCTTGGGTATTCTCCACAAATTCTACTTTATTATTTTGCAGTTTGCTTAGTGGATTCTAATATCAATTTAGACAGCTTTTAAATGTTTCTATAGAAAATTTATCATATCCATTACTTAAAGTCCCAAATTCCCAGGATAATTCTGATTTCAAAATGTAAATAATGATATGTTTATATTAATCTGATTTTTTAAATTGATATTTACTTGTTAAAATCCCACCATACCATTATAAGCAATGTATTCTTCGCAAAAACAGCTTTTACTTAAAACACTTCTGTTCATTTCATTAAAATAATATTTTTTCATTCCATCAAATTAATAAGAAGGAAAATCCATTAGACCACTAATCGTTCTAGCCATTGTCTTACTGACAGAAATAAACATAAATAAGTTTCAACATTAGCCAATGCTACTGATCAAAAACATATTCCAATAAAAGTTACCTGTATATCACGAAGATACAACATGAGATGAAAAGGACACTCTTTGAAAACATTTGTTTACTTTCCTTACCCCTTCAATATTTGTCTTTAAAAAGTTTCCTGCTAACCTTTACTACATTAAATATCTCATCTGTCTTTTCTTCTGCCAAATCCTCTTCAAAGTTTTAATGAAACAAATGCTTCTTTTGACTAAATTAATTTTGTATTAGTATCTTTCATCTAAATATATTACCACAATAAAATATAAAATAGATTAGCACCAAATAGTTTCATGAACAATGAGTGCTTTGCCAATCAAAAGGCTAAATATTTTATTAGAATAACAGCATCAAAAATAGAATTCTATTAGTCTAAGAAGTTGCAATCAAAACCTTCATTCATACAAATGATCATTCCAATATAATAAAAATAATTTGTATTTTTATGACTTTGTATCTACAAAAAATTTTAATTCACTCAAGTATACAGAGAGAATGGAGGAAAGTGCTTTATTATTTGGCACATTGTACAGAGTAAAAAATTTATAGCCTGGGTCAGTATGTTAGGATCCCAGTGCAAAGCCTTTGATTTGTTTGTAGTGTCTAAAAGTTTTCCTTCCAGCAATACATTTGTCATAAATACAACTGAAATGTCATCATAAGTTGTAACAATGCTCAAGGTGGCAGTTAGCTCAAAAAACACAAGAGTAAAAATTCAGATAGAAAGTCATATTTTGAAGGAAAGTTTCATTCACATTGAAGTCATAAAACGTTGTAAAGCTTTTATTGTAAATATTTATGTCCATTTTCATATTATATTTCAATTAAAACAATAACTTTCCATACTCTGCACTTTCAGAAGTGGAACACAGGATTAACATCAATAAAATAACTCTCTCAAAGAAAAGCAACCCAGCAGAAATGCAAAAATGATGTCCATGCTATGGCTTTTTAAAAATCCAATTTCATTGCCATTTGAATTGAACCGAAAAAAAAAAACAAAATACAAAGTGGACTGCTGATGGACTTACCTTCTTGAACTGCTTGAAAAGGGTTGTTGCCATCAACAAATGTCACCGAGAACGTGATTTTCTCAGTCTGTAAGATCTCCTCGTTTTGGTTGAGGTCGCCAACTGCTGTGCGAAACACCTCATCATCCTTTTTGGCAGATTCATCAAAAATTGCTCCTAGAAAGAAGTGAGTGTTGCCATTAAACAAAAACATAAATATTCTGTCATGCTCTCTGGAAATATGCCAGAGAGACATGTATTTGAAAAACGTATACTTTCACTGAAAGCATGCACTTTATTACTGAAACACATTGTACTGGAAGCAGTGTCACAGCTAAGCAGGAATGTAGTTACTTCTTCCAAATGGAAATGATGAATAGTACATCAAAGTGTTATTGCAGGGAGAGCATTGGAAAGATAATATAATATTAAGTACAAAAAGCTTTTTGCAGGACAAAGTGGCTAAAACACTGGATGTCTTATATCGTGAGATCATGAGGAATTCATAGCTTGAAACGTTTTTTCTGAATAATAGGAGATAAAATCAGGAAACTTTCTGAGAGTCCATTCATACAGTACATAGGAATTAAATTTCTATGTTGACCTTTATTTTTCTTTTTATTTCCTTCTTTCTTTCCTTTCTTTCTTTTATTTTTTTTTAATAAGGTTTTCAGTATCTTTTACAGTAGTAAATTCAATAATATTTATTAAAAATTTACAGACATACAAATCTCTGAGCAGAAGTAATGGAGAAATATTTCCTGAAGAACTAAAATAAGTCCTAGTGGATAATTATGGCCATTTTTCGTTCATATGTAATAATGACGACAATGATAAGAGTTGTGACTAACTTTATTGAGTGTTTGTCAGTAGTGTATGAGTTACACACACCAGTTCTAAAAGTAAAATGATTTCAAATCCTGACTCTGCCACTTGTTAAGTAAACGGCCTTGAACAAGGGATTCAGATTCCAAACCCCACATTCATCATCTGTAAAATCTAACAATAAAAATAATATCTATCTGTTAGGATTATTAACTGTATTGAATGATATTATGCAAGCAAAATGTAAGTAAATTGTGATAACTAAATAGTAAGCTCTCAATAAATGCTAGTGTTTTCTTTTTTTTAATACTGTCATCCAAATACAGCTTAACATTTCCTATTAATTTTTTTCATATTACAGAATCTCATTTAATCCTTAAAATAATTATGTGATATGTATTCTATTACACATACAGTTTTGAAAATTAAGATTCAGTGCAAGGAATATGCCCAAGGTCTCACAATGGGGCCAGAGCCCTTGCCTCCTTGACTCCCACATCCTCTCTCTAAATCACTATGGTAGACGGCCTTCCAGGATTATACCCATAAGGAATAAATTATACCCATAAGGAATAAATAAATTTTAATGGAGATCCTGACTTTACTGCATATCTGGGAGACTCCTTCCCATCAGGCCATGCATGCTTTATTTGTATTCATTCTGACTCTTATAGATCTAAGCAAGCACACATTTTTAAATTGTTTACTTTTTAAACCATAAACATTTGAGATAATGTACTTTTTGTCATTTTGAATAAACCAAATAAATTCCCTCGTGACAAAAAAAGACATACACCTCAGGGTCAATAACACGATACAGCAATGACTATATATACAAATCTGTATACACATAATTTATGTTTCTTGACTACAATATTCATCGCAGTGTGTGAATATAAAAATAAAAGTGTGTATATGAAAATGTCTTTTTTCCATATATGAATAAAATTCAAGTATTATACACACACATATATAAAGATATGAGCACAGACTATATATGCATACACAAATATCCCTATATACGTATATATATGTTTTTCACACACACACACACACACACACACACACACAAGCGCGTATATATAGAAGCAGACGCCCTTTACATCTACCAGTTTTGTTGATTTTATACCTCTGTGGCTGAAGCCCCAAGCCTTCTAATGAAAGACAGATCATGATATTAAACATACATTATTAAAGTCAATACATGATAAAGCAAGGGTGAAAGTATGCCAATTTCTGACAAGTGTTGCAGTTACCTTTGACCTCTCCACCCTAATGGCTTCACCATGGAAAGGCGATGATTAAATTTTTGCTAGGGAAGGCACAGTGTCTAACAGGCTTAGTGTGTGAACCTGGCTTTCTCTTTTCACTGCTCTTCTATATTTGCATTATTGACTGACTACTTCGACCAGCCTCTTTGAATCCTTGCTTTCCATCTCCTATATACTTTGAATACCTGTCCATGGCTAAGGACATGAGAAAAGGGTGAACAATCTTTAAAATATTGATATATAAATTAAGTACTCCATAATTATATTATTATATAGCCATTAGCCATAATATTAATATTTTATTAATATAATCAAATGTATATAATAAATGTTAATTTTTGACCTATTCTTTCATTTCCGAACCAGATAGCCATCTACTTTAGAAACTAAGGTTTTGTGAAAACATTTAGGCAATAAATGTTAGATTTATCTTGCTAATTTTAAGCCACATTTATGAAAACTCATTTTAGTTTGTAATAATTCTTATGAAAATCTAGATTAACATTACTTGGAAGTTTAATACTATCAGATTCACATATACAAATTTCTTTAGCAGTTTGTTAGGAAGTGTGATATAAATATGCTATAATTGGAACTGAAATAACCAATTCATTTTAAACCAGATAATCTAAATGTCTATTCACAAAGAAATGATGTATGTTTATATAGAGATGCTTCAGCTTGTCATGGATTCTAAATGAGTCTTTTAAAAGAAGAGTTTCTAATCAACCTTGTTTTATAGCGGGTGATGTTATTGACTTCTGCTGAGTATTGGTAATACATTTTTAATGGATGCATTTTACTATTACCTGACAGACACTTAACATTGTCTTAAACATTAAACCTGGCTTAATAAATGGCAGAACCTGCAGATATGATAGCAAATTAGTCAATTCTGTGCTGAATTAAGATACACTGAAAGGAAATGCACAAAAGAAGCAGTTCATCTTTCTGCAAACAGCAAGGAAATACACAGAAGAAACAGTTCATCTTCCTTCATACAGCATAACCAAAGAATAGGAAATCCTACCAACATTTCAACTCAGTTATTTATTTAAAATATATAAATATAAAATCTCATAATTATATATTTTATATATATATATATATATATAAATCTCATCTTAAATTTGGCTTTTTTAACCAAAGAGCACATGCAACATTTTGTATTAAACACAAGTATTCTGAAAACAATCCAGTGAGTTCCACACAGAGAATTTCAGGAAAGAAGGTTCTTTCTTATTTTATGCCCTTCCAATAGTACGGCATGCCATCTATTTATCCTTTGTATTAATGCAGACATATTACCAGTCTAATCCAATATCAAACATCCTAGATTTAGTTTTTGAACAATATAAAGTTTCTCAAGTGCAACATTCATAACTACGTATATAGTTAACATGATGACACAGCATCATGTTCTTTCCCAACTATTTTTATTAACATGTTTTTACTGTCAGTTTCATTTTACAACCTTGAGGTGAAAAGCAGCTTCAACTTATTGTCAAGATGAAAGAATTCTTCCATCACTTACACACAAACACACATACACACACATACACAATGTTTGATCAAGATATTATACTCTATTTACACTTCACATTCGCCAAACTGGAGGGAAGAATAACCAAGCAACAAGGCAGAAAAGTAACACCTCTAAATATTCCTTTATACCAATTTGTAATTAGCCATTTCCATTATTAAGGGTTGAGGATTTGCTCCTTCCATGGGAGGGAAAAAAAGGCTTTACTTATCCTTATACAAACAGAGTGACAGTTGGGCATAATCTTGTAAAATAGGATACCTAAATTCAAATATAGGGGTAAAAATGTAAGTTGTAACTAAATCTAAATTAAAACAAGAGTAGACTTGCAAATGTACCTGCATGCGAATTTATTATCACCGGTATTACCATGACTCCAGAAGACCCAAATTATTCAACAAGGTATTATTCATACCCTTGTATTTTTGGTTTAAATATTTAAATTCCTTTTTGTCTTATACATATAAGAGGCAAGTGGAGGAAACATTGTTTAGCTGGTAACATAGTGGAAGAAAGAAAACGTGTTCATCTAACTCAGTATTTCATCTAAAAATATTGAGACAGGTTTTGATACATGTCTTGAAGAAATTTTTCCACATACAGAGTTGGTAGCATTACTGGAAGATTTATATATCTCATTTTATATAACTAACATACCAAATAACTTTTAAAATACATGATTCTAAAAATTGAAACAAACAAGTATCATTAGTTGTACTGTGTGCAGATATCCAAATCAAGAGATCTATAACTTTTTTGCATCTACTCATGATATTCCCACTAATGTCAGTGGAAAACTGTGCATTCATTTCAAACAGAGGGCAAATAATCAGACATTATAAATACTGTAAAAATCAGATTTCTCCTTTATTTCACCCTCCACCTATATTGCTCTCAGTTCACAGAAGAAGAAGAAAAAAAGCTGAACATGTTCAATATGACTAGACAGCAGGAAAAGTTAGCAGAATTGTAACCAAAAGAAATAAGCATTTTCTATACCATTTGGCATCTTTATTTGAGCATACAGACTAGCTACTATTTCTGTGAGATATTATTACAATGAAGGCATGTGAACGTGTGTGTGTATAAAATCATCTGCCCAGATAATATTAATTACATTCAGATATCTCCACAAATTAATTTTGTATTATAAATGTTTTCAGCAGTCTCTTCTCATTCAACAGAAATTTTCCTAATATGTTCTATGCTAATAACTTCATAGGCAGGAAGTAGGTTTTTAGAACTCTTTTTCCTTTCATCAAGAGGTATATTTTCCTCAGTTCACCTTATCTAACCCTTCACAAGCACTCTGACTAAGGAAATAAATCAAAACAATAGCTCTAATCGTTGGAAAGGAAGTGCTAGATAGACACCAAATTCATGACAATTAGCAAATATTATTCTGAATCAGGGACAATTTGACTCTGTTATGTTTTTCTCAGGTTTATAATAAGGGAAAATAATAATAATGAAAGTAATTGACATTTATTAGTAATAAGTACTGTACTAAGTAGTTCCTGGCATTAGATCATTTAGTT